GCACTCCAGTCTGGGCGACAGAGTGAGACTCCAACTCAAAAAAAAAAAAAGAAAGAAACTCTGTAATGATAAACTAAAGGAAAGACATAAAGCTATTACTCCTTTTTTAGGCCAAAGTTATTAAATTAGTCTAATTTGTTCAAGTATTTACCTTAATTAGGAGAGCTTGGATTATTTTATGAAAATGTTTCTGAACTAGAATTTACTTAAGAAATATTGTTTTTAACACTAGCACTTTTAAAATATTAGCAGTTCTATTTTTAAATTATTTTTTGTTGATTTTGAGAATTCTATATATATTTCAGTGCCTGTCACTATGAACCTATCAGAACAGGACGCCTTTAGTTTATGGATGGTACCCTCCAAAGGTAGGAAAGTCCTTCACAGTCTCTCAAGAGGTGAAATAGCCAGGTATGGTGGCTCACACCTGTAATCATAGCACTTTGGGAGTCAGAGGCAAGAGGAATGACTGAGTCCAGGGGTTCGAGACCAGCCTGGGCAGCATGGCGAGACCTTGTCTCTACAATAAACCAAAAAGAAAAAAATTAGCTAGGCAGGGTGGTGCATGCCTGTGGTTCCAGCTACTTGGAAGGCTGAGGTGGAAGGATCACCTGAGCCCAGATCAAGGCTGTGGTGGCCATGAGTGTGCCACTGCACTCCAGCCTGAGCTGAGCAACAGAGTGAGACTCTGACTTAAAAAAAAAAAAAAAAGAGGTGAAGGCTTTCTGCATCGCAGACCCACAGACACATAGAACACTCAGTTTCCATCCTGCATTTTCAGCCTCAGGTCAAATCTAAGCACAGAAACCCAAAAAGTGACCAGTCAAGATCTCAAAGAACTGATTTTCTTTACAATGGACATAAAATATGTTTTTAATTGATTTGAGCTCACAAATAGGCAAACAGACAAGAAAACAAAAAGACGAATAAATTAGATTCTCTGATTACCAAATGATCAGACCATAAAACCGAAACCAAATTCCAAGTCATGATGCCACCAGTGGGAAATGATTTATTATCTGTGCATGAACCAGAAACAAAGAAAATCAGGAGAGGGAGTAATATCAAAAACCTAGAATAAAGGAGTGTCAGTGAAACTGAGTTTGCTGCTTGCAATCCACCCTGGAGACCAAGAAAAGATATATGTGGGCTTAAGTGGCCCATGAGAGTGGCTTCTTAAGCACCAAAGTTGATTTGGCTCCATTGGGTTAGTCCACATGGAACTCTCAGAGGTACCTCTAAACTGATAGAGAAGGGACTTTTTAGGAAACATTGAAGCCTGAGATGTTTCACTCTGGGAGGCCTTTTCATGACACCATTATTTTATATTTATTTTCTTTTCGCACCACCATTCATTGTCCCATGAAGACAATCCCTTCTATGGTGAGCCACCACCATGGGGATTAGCACACCTCTCGCAGGTACTTTGGGGATGGAACGAAGTCAGGAGTCTTACGTTATTGACTGGGCTGTCTTGAGAAGTAAATGCTAGAGTTTTGAGACATATAAAGTGGTATTCAACAGTTCTCATGCAATCAAATGAGTCTGAAGCCAGATTTGGACTTATCCAAGTGAGTCCACAAAAGCACTCGTTATCAAGAGCCTGATTTAAGTTAATACTCTTCTATCCCTAATAAGCTAAACACTTTCTTAAATCGCAAATCATGAATTTTCCTTAAGTTGACTTATTATTCCAGTGAAATGGAATATAGACTTGATTCTATGCAACAGTATGGCAGGATATTGTACACATATTTATCCTACAGATGCCCTTTTAGTATCATCTCCAGCAAGCTGCACAACAGGAGTACAATGTAAGCAATTTTTGTCATTTAAAACTCCCAGTAGCCACTTTTAAAAGTAAAAAAGAAATAGGTGGAATTAATTTTAACAAATATGTTGTTAACTCAGTGTATCCCACAGGTTCTCATTTAAATATGTAACCTATATAAAAATTATTAATGAGACATTTTATATTTGGGTGCTAAATCTTTGACGTTCAAGGTGTATTTTATATTCCACATTTCAAGTGCTCAGTGGTGACATGTGGCTAGTGGCCACTGTATTGGATGGGACAAATCTACAGGATTGCTCTTCTGGGGGCCTTAGCCCAAGC